CACACAAACACTAACCCGACCCCTAAACCTACCCATCACACACACACACACACACACAAACACTAACCCGACCCCTAAACCTACCCATCACACACACACACACACACACACACACACACACACACACACACACACACACACACACACTTACCCGACCCCTAAACCTACCCATCACACACACACACACACAAACACTAACCCGACCCCTAAACCTACCCATCACACACACACACACACACAAACACCAACCCGACCCCTAAACCTACCCATCACACACACACACACACACACAGACACACTAACCCGTCCCCTAAACCTACCCATCACACACACACACACACACACAAACACCAACCCGACCCCTAAACCTACCCATCACACACACACACACACACACACACACTAACCCAACCCCTAAACCTACCCATCACACACACACACACTAACCCGACCCCTAAACCTACCCATCACACACACACACACACACAAACACCAACCCGACCCCTAAACCTACCCATCACACACACTAACCCGACCCCTAAACCTTCCCATCACACACACACACTTACCCGACCCCTAAACCTACCCATCACACACACACACACACAAACACTAACCCGACCCCTAAACCTACCCATCACACACACACACACACACACACACACACACACACACACACACACACACACAGACACACTAACCCGTCCCCTAAACCTACCCATCACACACTCACTCTCACTCAGTACTCGGTACACCGTGCCATACAACCACCCCATGCTCGTGTGTTTCAGTGTGTGTCCAGTCGTCACTACAGTGGTCAGTACGTCTCGCGCGGTGAGGAAAGGCTTCCGGGAGAGTTTCGTGGATCGCTGTGGACCCCTGGGTGTCCAACTCTGCACTAAATACAGGTCAGACACACACACACACACAGATGAGCTGAACCTGTCACAGTTCGAGTAAATCACATAAGTGTCCGAAATATTTATTTAATATTATATAATTTTATAATATTTATATACCTATTTATTGTCCATGTTCAACTGTGTTTAGTGTGTGTGATGTTGCTGTTTGAGAAAAAGTGTGTCAGTGTTTCTGAACTCCTGAAACGCCTCCATTGTAGTCTTGAGTTTCTCCCGGGAACGAACACGTCACAATATTCCTCATTATAATAATTCATACGCAGAATAAAGGGGCGGGGCCTGGTTGAGTGAGTTAGTAGTGTGTTAAACTGGCGGTTATGGAAACGGGCGGGGCATTTCCCAAACACACTCGAAGCGCTCGACCAATCACAACACACTGCTCCAGCCGACCAATCACAGCACACTGCTCCAGCCGACCAATCACAGCACACTGCTCCAGCCGACCAATCAGAGTTGAAAACTAAAGATTCAAAACACTATATTCACATCAGTTGGGTTGTACAAAAGTTTGGGGTCGGCAAGATTTGTTTAATGTTTTTGAAAGAGCCTCTTCTGCTCATCAAGATTTGCGTTTATGTGATTAAAAATATAGCAAAAAAAAATGAAATATTATTATAATGTAAAACACCAGTTTTCTGTGTGAATATATAGTAAAGTGTAATTTATTCCTGTGATCAAAGCTGAATTTACTCCAGTCTTCAGTGTCACGTGATCCTTCAGAAATCACTCTAATATGATGATCTGATGCTCAAGAAACATTTCTGATTATTATCAGTGTGTGTTGTTGTTTGCTGTGGTTGCAGGATAAACCAGGCGCGTGTGTATCTGCAGGCGTATAGAGTGGGATACAAGATCCAGTGTCCCGACAAAACCACAAGATGAACCACAAAACAACAACGCCAAGTCGAGTAACAAACTCTAACAGGGAGCCAAACACAACAGACACACTCACGGCAGAATAAATATTCCTTTATTGACTCTGAGGGTTCGTGAAGAACCTTTGACATTCATGATTCTCCATCTGATGTTTCCCTCGTTAAAAAACATTGTTCCCTTCATCTCAGTTGCATGAGATTTTGTGACAAAAAAAAAAACTGGGCTTGATTCTGTTGTTCTGAAGGTGTGTGAAGAAAAAAGCCACACATAGGAGTTTTTTATTTGTCATTTTTCAATAAAAACTAGAGCACAAATGCAATGTGGAATTAAAATTCTCACACACACACAAGTGTGACTGCAACCGACAGCATTTGTATAGAATTTGACAAACAAAATCAGCCTTGAATGCAAAACAGATATGAAAGGTGAGAGACCTAACACACACACACACACACAAACCTCTGCTGGATATATATGAGAGACCACACACACACACACACACACACACACACACACACACTTTATTTCTAAAACTGTAATTCCTACAGTTTTTATTCTAACCAGCAGATGGCAGAATTCTGCCTCTAACAACTAGATCATTATCCAGAAACAACTCATATTTCATTTAAAAAATCATTAAAGTAATTATTTAGAAACATTTAATATTTCATATGCAAGCTAATGGTAAAGTTGAGTAATTTTGTGGTAAATAGGCAAAAAAAAGTACCACATATCCCCCACAACACAGCATAAATGTGTAGTTAAGAAGTACATTAGTTGTTGTTTTTTATATTTGTATACATTTTTAAAAATATTTTTTATACAGTCAATGTGTGGGTTCTGTATGGGTTCTTTACAACCTTAAAATTTTCTTCACACTAAGAAAAAAAACAGTTATTTTAAGGACGTTCACTAAAACGTTTTTTAAAGAAACAAAAATTATTATTTTATGGCATCGCTGCAAAAAAATCCTGGAAGCTTTATTTTTTTAAAAGTGTATGATTGTGTATATTGGCTCTTGCACATTGTGCATGTATTATTATTTTTTCGAACTAATAAAGATATTTTTGTGACTGTTTTAATTCATTGTGTGATCCTCTTTGAACTTCTTTGCAAATGTTTAACCACCAAAGGAAGCTAAACCTCTTTAAAATGCTGGTTAATGCTCACTTCTGTTTACATCAGCAGTCTGAACGTGTGCTGAGGGTCAAAGTCCCGTTCACATCAAGACCAATAACTATATGAGTGTCCACACAAACGCACAATATCATTCTGTTTATTATTTACGATGCGTCTGTCGCTTTAAATGCGCGAGCTCTGAAAGCAGGATGGATTCTGATTGGCTGTCAATGTTTTTATCGTTCATCAGTTGGGGGAAAAAAATCGTTTTGAAACTGATTCCAATGATATCCTTTCTCTGTGCCGTTATCGTTATAGGTGTTTATTTATTTAACAGGGACCATTCAGTCAAACATAGTTACAATACAAAGCCTGTAACTGATGCGCACCATATAGAGTAGCTAATGCTAATTTTCAACTCCGTATACTCCATTATGTGGCGTGAACTCTGCTATATCTTTATCGTTATTGTTATTATAGTCATCGTTATTGGTTTGAACGCACCTTTACAGGGACACTAAACTCGTAAACCTGGCGGTAAAGTGTATATTAATATATATAAAAATATATTAATTAGCCCTATAAATCAATGAAATAATTTAACTTCCCCCTGTAGTCAATAATTGTATCCCTTAAAACTCATATTTGATCACCAAAATGCCATATTTAAACGTTTTTCCTTGTGAAAAAAATTATTCATGCCTTAAAATAACTTGAATGTAACTCTAACGTTACTTGCTTCATTTAGGCCTAGTCAGAGCCATATAGAGTGAATGCGACTGCGGTCACGCCATCTGTGCTTCAGAAAAGCGCGGTCACGCCATCTACGCTTAAAAATATATTGCGCGTCTACACGAGGTTGCGTGGTAGGCTCAAGGTGTATGCGCTTGGTGTCGGCAGACTTTTTTTTAAAAATATTCATAATAAAATAAATAAAATCAAGTTGTTTTCTGCAAACTCCACCAGATTATTGTTCTACATCTCACAGACTTACCACTGTGGTGATTTTCATGTTGATCTAGCAGCTACTGTTTTATTATTTAATAATTAATTGCCAAAGTCCTAAACTGTATACCTTGTTATACAGCAATATTTAAAAAAAAATCATAAAACATTTAAATCAAATTGTTTTCTGCAAATTCCACCAGATTCGTGTTCTTCATCTCACTGACTACCACTGTGGTGATTTTAATGTTGTTCTACTGTTTTATTATTTAATAATTGTCTATCAAAGTCCTATACAGTATACCTTGTTATACAGCAATATTTGATAAATTCATAAAAAAATAAAATAAAATTGTTTTCTGCAAACTCCACCAGATTATTGTTCTACCTCTCACAGACTACCACTGTGGTGACTTTCATGTTGATCTACTGTTTTATTATTGAATAATTGCCTGCCAAAGTCCAATGTAGAATGTAGATGTAGAACAATATTCTGGTGGAATTTGCAGAAAACAATTTGATTTGATTTTTTTATGAATTTATTAAATATTGCTGTATAACAATGTATACAGTTTAGGACTTTGGCAATTAATTATTAAATAATAAACAGTAGATCAACATGGAAATCACCACAGTGGTAGTCAGTGAGATGTAGAACAATAATCTGGTGGAGTTTGCAGAAAACAATTTGATTTTATTGATTTTATTATGAATTTTTTTTTTTTTAAGTCTGCCGACACCAAGCGCATACACCTTGAGCATACCAACGTTTAGACGCGCAATATATTTTTAAGCGTTTATGGCGTGACCGCGCTTTTCTGAAGCACAGATGGCGTGACCGCAGTATATATGCGGGACCATGAATTTGCAAATGAGCCCCGCCTCCACTCACTCACACCACCTCAGAGATTCACTTGGTCGAGTTACTGAGGTAAGCCCTGCACAATTGCATCGCTCTCGGTAATTATTATGATTAGCCTTTTGACTGTTAGCAAACAGCTAGTGTTGCTAATGTTACACAAACCATGTCCCCGTTCACTATCTCAGAGTCGGACAGCTGCCGTCTAACAATCATCAGAAATGTCAGTGGAGAAAGGGCATATAGTTCATCATAACATCTAATAATAGTTCATCATATCAACAGAAAAATATACTGGGATAACCTGGCATCTCAATTGAGACTCCCCTGCTAGTTCACTGTTAATGATATGCTAAAGCCCGCCGGAACGTTGATCTGATTGGTTACAAGGTCGTTTGTGACGTCAGAAACACCAGCGATTTCAAACCGTGTTTTTGAGACTGTCTTTGGTTCACTGCAGTTTTAAGCAGAAAATACTCAGCAATGCTGTCGACTTATGAACTTACACATGGTGTGTCTTAAAGCATATTAAACACACCACATAGACACATAAACAACATTAAACGCTGGATTTTCACCACAGGGGGACTTTATGTGACATTATAATCTCAAACTTGTCTCTGTTTCTGGAATTAGCATTTCATATGTTTTATAATAATTTTTTGAAATTTAAATGTGTGCACTGTGCAATACTGTAAATCCATGAAATCCGCAGAGAGTTTAATGTGTATGAAATTGAATGTCTAACAAATGTCAAACATTAAACTAACTTTACCTCCGTTGATGTAAGTTAATGCAGTCACATATTAAAGGTGTGTTTGACTAAAGGACGTGGACAGAAGATCTGAAGAAGACTACCAGACCCCCATCAGACGAGGAAGAGCCTCATTAAACAGGTGAAACACATATAAAGTCATATCAAAATCTTATCTAATCTCATGTTCCTGGATCAACTTTCCAATCAACCAATCAGATTTGAGGGACAAGTTTACAGTTTATGTCAAGTTTAGGCTTAGAACCAGAGTGAAGTACTTAAACATCAGTGCTATTCCCCTCTCATTCCCCTCTGATTTTAGGGGAAAGTTATGGGTAGGGTTAGGTTTAGGGGTAGGGATTGGGTAAGGACTACATTTTGGGACAGGAATGTTGATCCAGGACAATGTCTTCACGGTGACCGTTCTTTGATATTGCATAAAAGGGTTTATCTTAATGATAAATAATATTTTTTTAGGTATTTATCTTAAAGAAATGTGTTTATTGCTTAATGAAATGAACGAACGGAATGGAAAAACCCCATAAAGAAGGAAAACATCTTAATGTTAATTCCTAAATTTACTAATACATTAATAAAATCAAAAATCAATAGTATTTAATAGACATGAACTAACAATGAATTGTTGTATTTTTTATTAACTAACATAAACGGACATTAATACTATAACAGATGTATTGCTTTTTTTGGTTAATATTAGTTAATGCATTAACAACATGAAATTGTATTGCAAAATATATGAAAATATATGTTTTTGGAAAGAAAAAGTATGAATTTTTGTGGAAATTGTTTTATATCTGATACCGCACTCATTTAAAATATTGTAAAGTGTAAAATTCCTTGCATGATCGAATAATCTTTTTGGATATTTAAATATTGAGTTATGTTCATATGGGAGTTCATGTAACACACCATATGGATTATGACATATCAAGGCTGAAATGTGCACAGATATTATTTAATACTTGAATTCTCAGTTATGCTTCCTTTAAGGATCAACTTTGTCTGAGATGTTTCTCCTAAAATTAAATTAATAATCATAATATACAAATATTATGCTATTATAATATATCAAAATATATTCATATTAAAATTGTATATAATGCTATATTTTATAATAATTATTTTATATATATGAATTTTAATTGTCTCAGATGTTTCTCCAAAAATTAAATGAATAATCATAATATAAAAATATTAGGCTATTATAATATATCAAAATATATTAATATTAAAATTGTATATAATGCTATATTTTATAATAATTATTTTATATATATTAATTTTAATTGTCTCAGATGTTTCTCCTAAAATTAAATTAATAATCATAATATAAAAATATTAGGCTATTATAATATATCAAAATATATTAATATTAAAATTGTATATAATGCTATATTTTATAATAATTATTTTATATATATTAATTTTAATCTCCTAAAATTAAATGAATAAATATGAATGTAAATATTAAAATATATTAAAATGATATATAATACTATATTTTATAATTATTATTATTATTATGATTTATTTATTCATTTTAATTAGTAAAATTGAGGAAGTAAAAACAGACGGGAATATTATCACTGGTTATGATCCAGTAAGAGTGTAGAGCTATAAAATGAATATGAAGAGCAGCTCACTTGAGAAGTATATCATAATTAGTTATGATAATTTCTCTCACAGGAAATGAATATGAGTGCGTCCTTTGAGAAGCTTCTGGATTTGAGTTCGGGAGACTCTCACACCGCTGGAATGAAGCCAATAACCTTTGTTAGACAGGTCTGACGTTCTGTTAATTGTTGCTTAAATAAGTGATGTATTGAACATATATGATGGCTGAATTGCACATGAGCCGAATGTGTCCTGCTCTTTGGTCAACATGTTAAATGACTCTTAAATGATTCATCAGTGCATGTTAATCTACAGGAGAAAATGTTTCACATAATCATTCATTAATAACATGGAAAACGTTTACTTTTAAAGCCCCCTGTGGTGAAAATCAAGCTTATTTATACGTCTATGTGGTGTTTTTAATGTGCTTTAAGACAAACCATGTGTAAGTTCATAAGTCGACAGCATTGCTGAGTATTTTCTGCTGAAAGGGATACTCCACTTTTTTTGGAAATAGGCTCATTTTACAACTCCCCCAGAGTTAAACTGTTGAGTTTTACCGTTTTTGAAACCATTCAGCCGATCTCCGGTTCTGGCGGTACCACTTTTAGCATAGCTTAGCATACATCATTGAAGTAGACAAGACCATTAGCATTTCTAAAAAAAAAAAATGACCAAAGAGTTTCGATATTTTTCCTATTTAAAACTTGACTCTTCTGTAGTTACATCGTGCGCTAAGACCGACGGAAAATGTAAAGTTGCGATTTTCTAGGCTGATATGGCTAGGAACTATACTCTCATTCCTGCGTAATAATCAAGAAACTTCAATGCCGTACCATGAGAGCAGCAGGCGTAATGATATGACGCAGCGCCTGAAAATAGTTCCGTTGTGTTGACGGAAGGTAGCCTATTTTCAGGCGCTGCGTCATATCATTACATGTCATTTTGATTATCAAAGATGAGTTTTAAGGGATCAAATGATTGACTACAGGGGGACTTTAAATCAGGTCACGTTGCTGAGACTCGTCACACAACAGAAGTGCATGTGTGGTGAATGGCGTTTCACGTGGACTTGTTTCAGGTCATCGCTGGATGTTTGTATCCGAGTGTCTTGCAGAGCGACGCTCTTCCTCCTGACGCTCGTCTCAGAGCTCAGATGTTACTCCAGCACTTTGATGGAGGCAGTATCGGTGAGATTGTCTTTGTGGGAAATGGTGATAGTTATAAGATGTATTACACACACACTACAGTTCAAAAGTTTGAGGTCGGGAAGATTTGTTTAATGTTTCAGAAGTAAGTCTCTTCTGCTCACCAAAGCTGTGTTCATTTGATCACAAATACAGTACAAATTGTTAAATATGATTTTAGTTTTCTATGTGAATATACAGTAAAGTGTAATTTATTCCTGTGATCAAAGCTGAATTTTCAGCATCATTTACTCCAGTCTTCAGTGTCACATGATCCTTCAGAAATCACTCTAATATGAGGATCTGATGCTCAAGAAACATGTTGAAAACCGTCATAATTTTGTGGAAACTGTGATACATTTCATTTTTCAGGATTCTTTGATGAATATAAAGTTCTAAAGAACAGCATTTATTTGAAATATAAATATTTTGTAACATTATAAATGTCTTTACTGTAACTTTTGATCATTTTAATGCATCTCTGCTGAATAAAAGTATTTTCTGACCTCAAACTGTTGAATGGTAGTGTGAAACTCGAAAAATTAGAATATGGTGCAAAAGTTCATTTATTTCAGTAATTCAACTTAAAAGGTGAAACTAATATATTATATAGACTCATTACATGCAAAGTGAGATATTTCAAGCCTTTATTTGTTATAATTGTGATGATTATGGCTTACAGATATGAAAACCCCAAAGTCAAAATTAGAATATTGTGAAAAGGTTTTCATATCTGTAAGCCATAATCATCACAATTATAACAAATAAAGGCTTGAAATATCTCACTTTGCATGTAATGAGTCTATATAATATATTAGTTTCACCTTTTAAGTTGAATTACTGAAATAAATGAACTTTTGCACCATATTCTAATTTTTCGAGTTTCACCTGTATGTTCAATCTGAATGGCTGCATCCGAAATCGCATACTTCCCTACTATATAGTAGGTGAAAAACAATATAAGTGCATCTCAATCAGCTCCCTAGTTCACTAGTTAGGGCACTGATCACAGTGATCAGGGAGTCGGCCATTTTAAGTGTGAAATCTGTCTAGTGCACTGAAAACCTTCGCTCCCTAAAAAAAGTCCCACAATGCACTGTGAAAACAACGGAGCATCGATGCTCACTATGTTCCCTTAACGGAAGTTAAATCACTAGATGTTTTTTTTTTACAGTACAAACCATTATTTAATTATATTTCAGCATAAACATACATCACTAGACAGGTCATGAACATAATCTAGCTGACATTTACAACGTTGCACATTTGTACTGTAACAAGCAGAGTATTTATCATAATGTACTTAAATAACATTGCAAAATAATGTCAGAATGATATCAGTTCATAAACACCTGTACAATAAAGACGCCAGAAATAGTCATCCGTGTCCTAATGTGTGAATTCATACACCATATACCGATTCACTGTCATGTGACCTGTGATGCTCACGATCTGATTGGCTGTCTGGTTTGCTCACTGTTTAGGTTCATACACTGGGTCCTGTGGATCGATGTACGTGAGAAACACTATAGCGAAGTTCATTTCTCTGCGGGACGGAGGAGTCCCATCCAGTCCAGAGCAAGTCTTCATCACTGTTGAAGCCCAGAGAGGTTTGATGGTATGATCCGAAACCATTCGTTTGTGATTTATGTTGTAAGCAGTGTTGGGGAAAATCATTACAAGTGACTTGAGTTATGTAATCAGATTACTTTTCAAATAACTATGTAAGCAATAAGGTACGAGAGGCTTTGCTGTATCGTGAATAAGTAACGGCTGAAGGGCGTTGTTAGGCACGACGCGAAGCGGAGTGCCTGCAACCCCTTCAGCCGTTACTTATTCACGATACAGCACTTGCCTCGAGTACCTTATTGCTTTTATAAAACGGTTACCACACAATATTAAAGAAAAAAAAAATTATTAGTGGAAATTTCATGGAAGTTAAATCAATAAAAGCATTAAAAGCATTCCTTCCGCTAGAAAAAAAATAGTCCCTGACCGTGAACAACAACGTTCCAATGTGTAATATGCATGAAAGCTCAAATAAAAACAACAAACCGTTCTCAAACTTGTCTCATTCTTTTTATTTTTTACAACACAATATTTGTGAAATTTCCTCACACAAATAGGCATAGCTTATCTCTCAGCATGAGAAAACGTTTACTTTTTTGTTTATTCCGTTATTTTCTCTCTGCACTAAACTAAATATTTACATAGCCTATAAATAAAAACACAAGGGCACATATTTTGATAGATAACAGTTAGGTCTTTAATCTATTTTATTAATGTTATCAATTCAGTTATTAAAATGCTGCCTAACAAGAGATTCTTTTTTATTGTTGTTTATTTAAATTTATTTGAACATCTCCGTTAATTGTGCACGCATTAAATATTTGTCTCATTTCAATCGGCTCCACTGTGGTGATATTTAACGCGGTTCTCTTTAGTTGGGGCTCAGCACTGTCAGCAGTGTTTTCTGTTGCAGCAAGAATGTCGCTCCAGTGCTTTCTTTGTTTTAAGTTTGGCCTCCAGTAGCTCTGTAGTGAACTTTCACACTTATGTCCACTCACAGACATAATTTCCCTCGATTCGAGACCAGCATCGGACAATCTCTGCACCATGGTGCTGCGAAGGCAGTGATTTGTGTAAACCTTTGAGGTGCCTGCTGCTTTACAAATTCTCTGCAACATTGTTGCGAGGTAGTTCACACCCATAGGCTCTCTTGTGTACCTGCAACAGTCAAAAACGAGAAAAAACTTTAACACAACAAGATTTAACACAAATTATAAATAGCTAATATGATTTATGTGCCGCTGCGTGATCTACGTACCAAACACATTTAGAGAGGTTTTGCTTTTTGGGGTGAAGGTAAAAAGCAGGGGGGTTAGATGGCAGAAGAGAAACGTACTTCTCTAGAGAGGCAACGGGACAAAGCGGGTTCCCAGTTTGTTGGAACATGAAGCCACGCCTGCTCTCCTTATTTCTGTCATGTGGGTCCTTATGGTTTTTTGTGTCTTCATTGAAGCTCATTGTGACATACTTTACACCATTTTCGTTTGTTAAAATGCGGAATGAGTCTGGAATGAGTTCTCGGTTCCCCTCTTTTCCTCTACGTCCGAAGTGTAACTGCACGTCAAACCAGACTTTGTTAACGAGTCCTTCAGGTGTGTTAGGATTAAGCGCATCGGACAGTTTTATGGTGCTGAAATCTTTCGTAGAAATCGATGTGTGATGCTCCGTTTTATCACGACCCTCTCTTCTCATTGTCTTTACGACTCCAACGAAAACATTATTGGATGAGGTGAATTCGCTGTCTCTCATCAGACACCAGGACAAACTCAAAGGTGGATCATTCAGGAATCTGTTCACACCCGCACGTAACGCTACATAGCTACTGATCCCATATTTTTCGCCTTTGGAGCTTCTGACAGTTCCGTAGAAGTCACGGAGAAGTGCGTTGAGTTCCGTCTTGGTGATTTGTTTAAAATCAATGCTGCAACCCTTTTCACTACACCAGTCACCGAAGCATTTCACTGCCCATTGGGTTTGCTGCACGGTATTTTTTTCATTACGAGTCTTCTCGAATGTATCAATGTTACATTTCAGCACTTCAGCATGACGGTTCATATTTGTAGAAGTCTCTACAAATTGTTCCTCAAACCACTTATCCATCGTCATGCCACCTAATAAATCGAAATTTACTTTAAACATTTTAGCCTTTTTAATTCTTACGTTTTTTGTCTGTTTATGTTGATACGTGTGGTTGCTAAGGGTGTTGCTAAGGGCGCAGTGATAAATAGAACCGTTGGGTGAAGCGGTCATAGCCGTGTTTTATCGTGAATAAAGCACAGCTATTGACCAATCAGAATCAAGGATTGTAACTAACCGTTTTATAAAAACTAGTAAAGTTACGCATTACTTTTCAATTTACAGCACAATATCTAAGTTACTTTTTCAAATAAGTAACACTAGTTACTTTTCCACATTTATTGTAATACTGTAATGCATTACTTTTAAAAGTAACTTTCCCCAACACTAGTTGTAAGTGCTTCAGTTGGGTGATTGATGTACGCAGGTGATGATGCGACTGCTGTGTCAATCAGAGGGCGTGTCTTCAGTTATGATCCCAGACCCCGCCCCTCACTCTCTGACACGCCTCCTGGAGTGGATGGGCGTGGTTCCGGTGCCCTATCGGCTTCAAGAACAGT